CCAAGGCTGGTTTTGAGCACCCAAAAGATCAAGACTCTGCCATAAAGACTCCCTTTCACTTGGAGTATTAAAAGCATATATAACAGTGCATAAAAACTTCACCCTAGAATTTAAAACCACCACATGACAGTGCAAGAATTGATCTCCTTGTGTAACTTCAGTCACCTCCACCCTCAGTTTATCCCACACCAACCAAATCCTACCATTATAAGCACTATTATATGTATGCAACCATCCCCATTTATCTCCTAATTTTTTAACTACTCTATTACTATTCTCATATTTCACTCTAGTTTCTAAAAAAGCCATAACTGAAATCTTATTTGTCAGTAAAAAATTCCTACCCTCTACTTGATGAGAAGGGTCATTAAAACCCCTCACATTCCAAAAAGCAACAGTGATCATTTATTTAAGAGAGGGAAAAAAAAACCTCCACCAGCCACTTGCATCCCATCTTTCTGAGCAAGAACTTGTCCACCAACAGCTTCTTCACCAGCCTGTCTTGAAAACACTTCCGGAAACAAAGCTGTCACATTACCATCATCAATAACAGTTCCTTTGACATGATCAGATTCCATTATAGGCATTTCCTTATCAACCACCACCGTAGACTCTAGTACTTCATCATGCTTGCACTGTTGGACAACAACCTCACTAAGTATATTAGGCTCAACCTGTACCATAGCTGCATCAGCTTGCTGCATACTAGGCTTAAGAAGCTACTTCTGTTCCACAGAACCTTTAACTACCCACATCTTCTTAATTTTAGCCTTACAATTCCTTTCCTCATGTCCAAGGTTACCACAGTTTCCACAGCGCACTGGGGACCATTCAAAGATTACTGGTTGCTGGAAAATACCCTTGGGCCCAACTACAGGTACCACCTGTGGTAACTCCTCCATAATCTCAACTTCCACTAGCATCCTAGCAAAAGACACTCGCTACCTCTTAGCAGTCAATGCATCAGTAGCAATAGAAACACCCAGATAATTGGCCATTTTGCCTAAGCTTTCAAGATTCCAAAGACTCAAATGCAAATCAGGAAACTGAATCCACACGGGTATCTTACTAACATCAAGGTTATCAGGATCAAAATCAGGGGTCCATTGTTTCAAAATTAGAGGATGGTCCTGAAAAGTCCATCTCTTTTCTAAGACAGCCTGCTTCGCCTCCCCATCCGCAAAATCAAACAAAAATACACCATTCTTAAGTGAAAAAACCTTTGGTACTTGGAATTCCTTCCATCTATTATTAGCATAATTAGCCATATCCTTGAAATGAGGCTTGCATCCAAGGACATAACCAACTAAAGCATTCTCCCATACCTTGGATCCCTAATACCATTCATCCTCGGTAATCACCACAGCACCAGAGGGGTCTTGAGGTTTTACATACTGCAACTCCCATCCCTTCCTAATATCCCTATTTCCTTGCACTACCGACGACCAACTCCTAACCGGCTTCCGTAGTGGCTGAGTCAGTACTTCATCCTTCTCTCCATCAACCAAATCAATCCACCGAACTCTAGGAGTCTCAGGCTTTACACCCGAAGAACTAGCCCCATTGGTACCAATTAAAAGCTTAGCAGGGGATTCTGGAGATTGGGTATCTAAACCCACTACCCTTTTACCTTCCCTCTGCCCCTCCTCTAAATTAGTGAGAACCTGGGTTACCACAGCCTCCTTTCTAGACTCAATTTCTGTCGCCTCATCCACCCCAGGATCCCTCGGATCTGACTGCAAATTACCCACCTCCTCTACCACAAGACCCATAAGCTCAAGATCCTTTGCAGCGAGCTTTACTACCTCAACTTGTGCCTTAACAGCATCCTCAATCGGACTATTCGTAGCAACATTCTCAACACTTTTTGCACCAGCAACCTCCTTCGATGAACCTCCCCTAGGTGGGGCATCCTTCTTCTTCCTACCTCTGCCACCCATTCCCGGCGTTTTCAGCAAACCGCCATGCCTGCGTACGATAGCAAAAAGAAGTTATCATGCGCCTGTAGAGCAGTTACAGAAACGAGCTAAAGAGAAAAAGTTCAAAAAAAAAAGTATATTTTTTATAATTAAGGGATGAAAAAATGTAAAAAAATTATAAAAAAATTATTTAAAATTGAAAGCTTATTGACAAAATTTGAAAGTTAACCAAATAAAAAAAATTAATGAGCTTTAAAAATATCAAAAGGCAATGCAATTAAGACAAAAAATTAATGGAAAAACAATAGATCGTGACATGGTCGCTCTAACGCATCAATGGAACCAAATTCTTAAAGAATAATGATAAATAAAATAAAAATTTAAGATTAAAATTTACAATTAATAATATGACTTATGTTATATTATTTAAAATATTAAAAAAATAAATCATATATAATTTAATGATTAAATTTTTTATTTTTTT